AATCAGATGGTAATGTTATGATATTATTTAGGATAACACTGATGTCCATATGCATGTTGATGCTGCGGCTATCAGTATTTTAGATGTACCAATTACACAATCAATGTATCATGTAGTTAAAATCAGCCAAAGCTGCTTACATATTGTTGCCGAATTCTTTAAAGGTGCCCATGACTCTTATTACCGTGCATTGAACTCATTTTAATATATTGTTATTTTCAGCACACTTTCCACAATCTTGGAGCACAATCAGAATTATACCCTTACATGACAAAGGTGATAACTACAGAGGAATTACGCTTTTGAGTTACATCTGTATTAAACAAGCGATGAACATTGGTAAGGGGAGAAGGTTGCAGATATCCCTTGCTCTACTCCAATTGTTTTGGCTATATGTGGGAACATCAATCGGTCGGTAACGTTCTTAAATTTGTTTTAGAATGTACATTTCGATTTAAGTCTTCCTGCGATCACAATTGGCATGACAAACTGCAAAAGAGTTAAAAACGTATATTTCTTCTTTGAATCAAATGTCATTTGGTCTAGACATGTATCTAAATGCAGTAAGCATCTTTAAGTTTGGAACCTGTCTTGCAAAACTAAGATGTAGTACCCATCAGTTAAGAACTTAAACCGGACGTAAATGCAAACAAGCAAGATTTGAGAGAGTATGTGTAATAAATTGTGTATAGAAGATGCGTACCATTTTATCCTTGGTTGTGATATATATCAATCCACCAGGAACGCTTCTTTACCAGCAGATTTCTGTGTCAATTTTCTCTAAATAGATTTAATACGCCCATTACCACATGTGTTTAATTAGTGGCTATTAGATTACCCTCACTCTATAAATAGAAGGAAATTCAAAAACAAACACCTCCCCTAACATTCCGAACCAATCCACAAATAAAGATAAAGCATATGTCATGGTTGCTCACTTTTCGACTACAAGCAGCTCCACCAACCACACACACAAAGCCTACAAAACACAATTAAAAATTAATCCAAATACATAAACAGACCAGTTCCAATATTTCTGCCATACAACACAACTGGCCTGGTCACAGAGATATTAAAGGGAATAACCTCGCAGATTTGGCAAGCACAATTGCTGCAAAAACTACACACCCCTCCCCCTCTATAAACTTCACAAGTAAAACCGAAATAAAATCTCTCATAAAGAAGAATATCAAAATTCAAAATTAGCGAATTCTCATTCAAAATTGTAAATCCACCTGAATAAAGTACATGTTGTAAACCAATGCCACAATTTCACAAGCTCGGTCCTTTCAGACAAAATAATAAATAGAATCCACTGTGGCCTAACCAACCTTAACTCCATATTTTTGGACAAAATATGCACCAACATGGAAACTGCACTCACTGCAATACACCAGAAGACCTGAATCATATATTCAACCGTTGTACCCTTTTTCACTCAAACACATCACTATATCAATCTCTACCTCTCCAATATAAAAACATTATTACACTTCTTTACAACCTTACAAACACGACGGCAATTTACTCAGCAATCTTAGACTTTATTAAAAGCAGCAATCTCCAAAACAAATTTTAGAACTGTCCCCAACTAATTACCATTATAAAAAAAACATCAACGATACCACTTTTTTTATTTCGGATCGGGATCGAAATTCCAAGCCCGCATTGTCTTCTATGACGTCCGCGCGCACAATTCTAGATTAACCAGCCACTATAAATCATTAAAGTCCCTTAACCAGTCTCCTCGCCAAAGCCACCCACCAGACAAGCACAATAACTCAACACAAGCCTGACTGACTCCCCTCCCCCCTCAGCTCGACGTTCTTTATCATACTTAGGTATGACATGTAAGTTTATCTAGGCTTTGTATTTAAACATCAGCTTAACTCAAACATATTATTATCACTATTCATTCTCTACAACACTCTTATCATTACTATATTATTTTTCACTTCTGTTAGTACACCATCTGCGAACTTCTCTCTCAACCAACTTCTTTAATATTTCTATTTCATTAAATTTAACCCAACAATTTATAGTTTATTAGGTCAGACGTTTACATCCTATTTCCCCATATTCAGTATCTAAAGTAACCCCCGCCTGACCCCGACTGCGAATTATTGACACAGTCCGAAGCGGTCGTTAAACTTCCAAATCATCATCTTCACTATGTTAACTGAGGAAAGACAACCATGCCCTCTGGTCACCATATGTTTATATTTCATTTCACAAGTGTTTCCCATTGTGTCTACATTATTTCATTGTCTCTGTATGGACAAGTTTATCTCTTATCACAGGTGAAACAGTTCACGGTCATGTTCACTCGTGCATTACTTTCTGAACATCTGAACGTATCGATTGTTTGACAGACATTACTAAGAAGTTGACGGATGACAAGGTAGACACAATTTTATGATGACAACTTCTTTAATACTGTAAAAAGCAACGTTTCGGTATAGATCCTTATACCGTTGTCAAGCAAGACTGAATGGGGTGCATGGATGGATGGATGTTAGGGGTTTAACGTGCGCTTCCGACTGATCATGATACTTACTAATATTGGAGATTGAACGTGCGCTTTCCGACTGCGTATGTCCCACACGGGCCGGCCAGGCCATTTAATGTGTTTCCGAAAAAGGGGAAAAGTGAGTTTGTGCAACCCAGGAGGGAGGCTTTAGGGGTTGCTTATATAGTAATTTTGAAATTTGGAGATTTGGAATGAAGGCCAAGAGTGGGTGGAGGACGAACTAAGGGAGCCGTGTGTGTGTTGGGTGGTTGTTAGATTAGGTAGTTTTGGTTTTAATATTTTATTTGAGGTTTAAAGCGACTAATTAGTCCTCTTTTAATTAGGTATATGACTAAGGCTTTGAATTTTTCTAAGTTATTTGTGGATTTGGGATTGATTCTAGTGTAAGTGCGGTTTTAAGATTTAGGGTGGTCTGTGGTGTTGTTCGGTGTGTTTGGTAGTGTGTGCAGTGAATGAGTACGTGTTCTGATGTTTCTTGTTGTTTGCAATGTTGGCAGAATGGGGGACATGGCACAGAATATATATAGTAGTTGGAGGATTAACAGTAGCGGATTAACAGTGACAACAATTGCATACATGAGTGGGATAACATAGGTAGGTGTTGACATCAAGGGGATAATACTGTCACAACACGATGGACAGAGAACACATAGGTGGAAGCCAATGGGACATGAAGCCAATTAAACAGGATAAGTGATTATTGCTTGATGAGTTCATAGTAGGCGAAAGGGATGAAATAGCCTTGATCTATGTTGATTGATGGCTTGTGGCGGCGAATGTGGATTGGTTCTGTTAGTTTTCTTTCAGTGAAATCATGGAGGTTGTTGGAGAGGATTTGGACGTTGTCCCAGTTGATGTTGTGTTTAGGAGTTGCAGTCAATTTTGTAAACTACACCTTTAGCCTTTTTGGGTTTGGTTGTGTTCCTGCCGTTGGCTCTTAGCAGGGCCTTGAGGAAGTTGGAGCTGGTGAAGTGGGTGTCGATGTTGGCTTGTTGGTTGAGGAGGCGGCTGATGATGTGGGAGGCTTTTCCTATGAACGGAAGGGCGATGCGGAAGCCTAAAGGTGTAGTTTACAAAATTGACTGCAACTGTGGACAATCTTACGTAGGTTAAACATCCCGTCCAATCAACACCAGAATGAAAGAGCACGAAACCTCCACCATTCAATCCGACAGTAAATCAGCTATCTCGGACCATATCAGTAACTGTCCTAATCACAACATCAACTGGACAACGTCCAAATCCTCTCCAAAAACCAAGAAACATAATAGGAGGAGATCTGGATTTCATCTACACTTCAATTTTGAATTGGAACAAGGTAGTAGTAGTAGTAGTAGTAGAAGTAGTAGTAGTAGTAGTAGTAGTAGTAGTAGTAGTAGTAGTAGTAGTAGTAGTACGATGCAAATACTTTTTCCTCATAAAAGTATGTTTAAATAGTGATATGATATTAGTTCGAAAAGCCGTTAACCAGCTAAGTTGTTTTAATAATGTTAGTCTTAGTCGTAGTAGTAGTAGTAGTAGTAGTAGTAGTAGTAGTAGTAGTAGTACGATAGAAATACTGTTTCCTCATAAAAGTATGTTTAAATAGTGATATGATATTAGTTCCAAAAGCCGTTTACCAGCTAAGTTGTTTTAATAATGTTACAGACAACACTTGGTCCATGCCATGACAACCAATGTGGATACACACAGAGATGCAATTCCAAGAGAAGTGGCAACGTTCACTGTGGTATGTACGCTATATTAACGACAGACTACATGTTGCCTACGAACAGTGATCTCTTACACATCGAACACCTACAGTGAAAATATATTTGTCAAACAAGATACATGCATGGGGTTGTTAGAATTAGCAAGATGCAGACACAAACACGAAGTGCACATCCTTGTAACTTGTAAACTAAGAATAAAATAGCAACTTCATTTGGAAACTTATGGTTCGTTTTTAGATGGAATCCAACCCATTGTTATTAATTCAGTTTGACTTCTTTTGGAAATTATGTGGAAACAGCATGTTTCACTTACAGTTTTGATCAGGGTAAAGGCAGTCATTAATCATATAAACAAAGATATAATTACAAACATTAGACATAATGAATGACGGGATCGGGTGGTCAGGCTTGCTTACTTGGTTGATGCATGTCATCGATCCAATGCTCATGATTTTAATCACGGGATTGTCTGGTCCAGACTCGATTATTTACAGACCGTCGTCATATAGCTTGAATATTGTTGAGTGCGGCGTTAAACAACAAACAAACAAACCAACATAATGAATTAAGGAAATGGGCCCACTAGCCCATCATACATTTATGGTTACTAAATTTCTTTATGCCAGGTTGTGGAGCACCACACGTATCTTCCAGGAGCATATATAAAAATGTGTAATATTACGTTTCTTGAAGGCAAGAAAAATACACACAAACAGCGGCGTGTCTAACTTTTCGGTTGTCTCGAAGTAAAAACTTGGTTCATGCGTATTCCTTCTTTATTAAATTACATGACATATTTATTGATTTATGATGAAGCAATGAGTACTAACGTCATATAAGCCGTCACACATAATATTTAACATTAATACTGACGTCACTCTCCTCCGGAATGAGCTTAAACACAATTACCTCCGAGGCTCTCAGTTCACCATGTGTAATGTACAACTTCCGGTTATGCGCACATCGAACTGAAAGTCCAGCAGGATTCCGAAGTCCAGAATCTGACGTCACCAAATCTTGAACAAAGCCACCTTTGGAAGAAAACATAACAACGCGATCGTTGTAATGATCAGCAACAAAGATATTGTCATGCTGGTCCGCACAGACTCCATATGGGAATTTAAACTGTCCATTTCCCCTCCCATAACATCCAAATTTGAATAGAAATTCTCCGCTTTGATTAAACACTTTTATACAATGGTTTCCCGAATCTGAAACAATGATACGTCCAGAAATTGAACAGCAGACATATCTTGGCTGTTTGAAACACGTTTCCTGTAAATCTGATAATTTAAACAGACTTTTTCCTGTCTGATCAAAAACCAGCACGTCATCTGCTTCCTCGTCCGCAACAAATATCCTCCCAGTTTTGTCCACGGCGACACCAGCTGGACATTTGAGTAGCCCATGTCCCACCTCTACAATAGTCTGTCCGTCATTTGGCCACACTGCCACACAACGTTGACGTCGGAACGACACGGCCACTTGACCTTCAGGGGTCATGGTCGCTCCCCACGGCTCCGTACACTCTCTTGTCATATAAGTCCGTTTGGCTTTACCGCTGCGTTCATATAAGACAACTTTACTGTCAAGCATATCTGTCACCAGCACGGCTCCGCTGTAGACATGAGAAACTGATTTAGCGTCAAGTATGCCAGCCGCGTCATCTCTCTGTGTACCAAACTTATTATAGAGAACAACGTGGAATCTGTCGCTGAAGTCACCACTTGTTTGTGTATCGCAAGTCTCGTCTGAACTGAAGGACTCCACTGACATGTTTCGTTCCTTCGATAAGTTAAAGGGAAACAGCAAGCCTCTTTTGGACAGGTTTTGACCCTCGAGGGATAGTCTTTTCACAGATGAGCTTGTAACTTTGGACGTTGTGTCGTAAAGTGGCAATGATATAGGCGTGAGCGCCCCAACATCAAGACTCCGGGATCTTGGAACTTGGATGTTCAGAAGAGATCGCTCAGGCGACATAACCGATGTTTGTGATGAAACTGAAATATATTAATTCCATTTTAAATTGATTGTTGACACCTGAAACCATTTCTCGTGTTCAATCGTATTGAACGAGTTTAATATTAGGAACAACACCACTCATTTAAACATAGCAGAATCAAAAGTTTGTAACAGGTAGACAGGTCCTGTACAATAGGTGGTACTGGTCGTGGTGATATATACACATGTACATTGATGTTTATCGTACCAACAGGCCAGCTGCCCCACATCAGTCGACCAATCGTCAACCGTTTCTAAGCTGCTATCATAATTGGAGGTTAAGTAAATACAGCATTTGATTGATGTGCAGTCTCTGTCCTGGGTCCCGATCTTCAACGAGCATGCAATTGTAGCGCTTACACGATCGCAATACTGATATTTTATATAAAGCTTACGACTGTCGTGGCTCTTCAAAGGATTTGTGGGTCTGACTCGCCGTGGGTAGTAATGCCTTTAAATGATTGAATGCAATCATAAAAAATCTCTTCACCAGACACAATTTAGATCACGCCACACAGCATGTTTAATGTCATTGACATTTATATGACGTGTTTAACTAATCTAAACCATATGGTTGATGGTAAATTCAGGCATTAATATAACTGACGTTAAAAGTTAGTTTTTGTAGAGAGACAACGTGTCATCGTCTGTTGCCAATTTCTAGTCCAGAGCCAAGCGTGGTATCCAGTGTCATTTGTGAAACGGAAATGTTGTCTATGTGTAATTAGAGTAAACGTTGAGCGCTTAATTCACATACTTCATGAATTCGGAGTAACTAGACAGACAAAGAGGGTTTTGACTGACATGAATAAACTTGCTTGCTGGTATTGCCGACTTACCTGAGCCCTTACCTACTTTCAATTAATCACGATACAATGTAACCTTGTTATTACGGACGCAATTAATCCGTAAAATTAATTTCCGTTTCATTACTGTTAGGATCGCATGACGATCTGTATGGTATTTTGAACATTACACAATGACAATTATTCTTCAAACCGTAGATATGCAGATCAGAACGCCATCAATTTAGACCGTACCATCCGGATAAACAGGGTTTCGCTGTATTTATGTGTTTTACATTTCATTGGTCAATACTAATATAAATCTATTTTGTCAACTCGTCTGATCACATTCAGCTTAAGTGCTCACGATTTAAACATTTTTACTGGCCTTGCATTTAATACTTTTTATTCAGGTTGCGATTTTAGAACCACTGCTAATTGCTGTCAAATCTCGTTTGATTGGACCAAGTAATCATTTGACAAAATAGATTTATATTTATTTCGTTTTAAGTTTAAAAAAACCCTTTTCGTTTAAAATTTATTTCTTTGATGAATTTGGTTCCTCCATTAACACTAATTATAATAGGGTATCTGGTAATATATATATTTCTTATTGTTAGCATGTTATATTGATATAACTATATAACTATGACTAGATGAGGGTGTCTACAAACAAAAGGGTTTAACATCTGCAATACTTACACAAATCTCTGATTCCTTCACGAACCCATGCACATGATGAAGCATTTACAAAATATAAATCTCCGATTAATCATCTGTATTCCTTAACATGATCTTTAAAATATATCTTATATTACTCACTGTTAGGGAAAAGTCCTTTTTCTTCTGAAATAGATTTTCTCCTTTTTCGCACAAGTAGCTTTGTCTGCCTCGCAGCCCTCCGTAACAGCTCCATCCTCTGAATTGGAAAATCTGGCAGCGCTTCATCCGTTATATCGACTAAGTTATCAAAACACACGGGTCCAGAGATCAGGGATGAACGTGACGCAATGAACGGCATTACCTTCACTTCACCTTCACAATGCTATTTCCGAAATGGTCCGACAGTTTAACTGTTACTATCGCAATGAGGAACTGCAACAACGTATGAGAACAGACTGGAAGCTAAAGGTTATATTATTTTTGGAAGCAACATTGCATTCCTATCATTTTGATAGAGAGCAGCGAGAATCCTATGCCTGTATGGTCGCACGATAGCCGTTGTTTTCATCCCTGACAGAGGTGTGCATGGTTCATATTCACAGAGCGTATCGCCCGCCCACACTGATCTTGTAAGATGGCCACTTGGAACAAGGCGTTTGTTTGTTTGTCTGGGGCGTTGGGCAGATTGTTGCATCGCTATTGTTCGAAGTTTCAAGGCTGCGAGGTTAGATGTCTGTGGTAAGACAGTGGATGGTGTAAAGGCTATCGATACAGGTGTTTCTCTTCGTTTGCCTGACAGGGCAGGTGGCTTGGGTTACCGTTATGTTTGTAAACATGTTTTTCAGGGGAAGGAATTCGTGTGACGATAACGTATCTGTGTAGTGCTGAAATAAAGCTGTTCGTTTAGCACGTAGTATTTCCTGTGTTGTTATAATAGGAAATAGTATGTTCTTTCAAAGATAGCTGTACATGCAGAAACAAGTATTATTAAAAATACGATTTAATCTCACTTAATACTCATTTATTCTTGATGATTTAGATTTTCCACCAACTTAGAAACAAATTAAAACCGAAACATTTTTTTCATTATTGTCCTTGTTAAATATCTTTTCACTTTTAAGAATCCAAATTTATATAACCTTATTAAAAAAGTTAAAACACATTTCTTTCGTGTTAAAGAAGTCATATATCAAAACTGCATTTCACACACAATGACTTTTGAGGATAATGGTCAAGACTAGTCATGCACTTATAAATTATTTGAGATGTAACATAAAAGCTCATGGTAGTCACATATAATGCAAGAAGTGGACACATTGTTGTTTACATTTGCATTCAGTTATTTGACATTTTGCAGTTAAATGTTTACTGCGACGTATAACTGCGTCCATTTCATGTTTGGCATAAAGGCTATCTAAAGATAAAGTTTATGGAGATGATACTTTCTAACCTCAATATTTATGTGCAATTCCCGTGTCTATTGTACAGACATGCATGTAGCTTTATGGGGGCATTGTGCGTTTACAACCAGACCCTCGAAACATACTTGAACTGCCGCACGCCTCGGCGTTTCGTTTAATAATCGAACATTGTTATAAATCTAGGAAAGTTCAGCGCCCGGGCGGACGGAGAACGTGGGAAATGTATAAAAGGCGACCACCTTTTCCAAGGTTAGGAATAGTATCGCCTTTCAAGCATTGTTCACAAAAGATTACAATTGGGGCACATGTATTAACTTTGTGTATTGGCCATTTTATAAAATATGATACAGTGTGCCACACAGAACTTATACGTGAAGCATTGTGGCATCACAACGAGGTAAAACAGGAAATAAAATTAATTTTTATCTTGATGTCGGAATACTAGCGTAAATGAAATTTGGCATGCTACAGCAAAAAAGGAAAAAAAGAACATGTGCATTTTCATCAAACTCGACACCTTTCGAACGTTTAATGTTAGGCTTTGTTTATTTTTATTTTTATTTTGAATGTCAAATTTCAAAAACGTAAACAGTGACATTAATTATTATTATTATTATTATAGAAGCCATATATAATAACGCTCTTGGAACTAGAGGCGGTGAAGCCGGTTGGGCATTATTAACACAATGATGCATACCGTGTGGATTCAGGCAGTCCCGCTTGCTGGTCGTATGAACCGACTGATGGGGTCGGGTGGTTACGATGTGTGACCTGGCTGATTGTGTGTCATCGTACCCCGATGGCAGGGATCGATGTTTTGTTTTAAACATATTTTATTGACATATATGGTCAACGGGATTGGGCAAAAGTTATCCGACTTAGGTGGCCCTTTCCCTTATGTATTTGTACAGATATTGTATTATACATATATATATACACCTATACATACACATATACATACATATGCAGAAATTCAGAAATACATACATGTACACATAATCATATATACTCATGCATACATACACATACTCATATACATATGCACATATTAAATTTATAGTAACAAAGAGAAATATATTTACACAACATAAACATAATGTTTGCAAGAAAAACATAGACATACATAAGAAATGCCTATATAAACACAATTTACTTGTATATAAACATTAATCCAAAATACATGCAATACATATAATACATAATACATAACATATAATCACACAATCATACATACACTTACATGTACATATATGCACACATACACACACTACATACACACACATATACCCCTGTATACGCATGCATACATATATATACATACACATATTTACACACATACACCAAGATATACATACCCGTAAACACTATGCTTACAGCAGAAGGCAGTGATACCCATGTATTCATACACATGCATGCAGTTTATACACTTATGGCGTAATTAATAATAAGTGGTCGCAGAGCGATATTCTATATTTATGATAAAGAGTAACTCGAATCTATTAGTCGACAGTATATATTTTTGAACGCTGTTGAAGATGAGGTTATTGTGACTTTCAGCTAGGGATACATCACCGAAGAGAATATTTTGTATTGTACATGTAGTTCCAGCTTTTATAATGTAAGCGAACATGTTATTTCTGGGAATAGTGTAATTGAGACATTCAAGAAAACTCAGTCATGGTCAACCCGCTGTGATATAGCTTGAATATTGCTGACTGGGACGTCAAACACTTTTCCCTCGAAGCAAAAGTTCAATATCATATTTCACACTACATAAGAACGGAATAAGTTTGAAAGGTTTTTTATTTATTATCAGACGCCAAACATTACTAAAGCTGCGTTGGAACCGTAGGCTCAAACAATATTTGAAATGATTTGCCTATCGTCATTGCTTCAGTTTTAAAACTGACCCCTGATCAAGGACCATTGACAGACAGGTTATTGCCCGACCGGTTAAACGACAAGATTTTGTTACCCTGTCAGAGACAATACATGAACATTCAGGGTAGTGTGCATTTCAGTGTCGACATGACCTTGACATGACAGGACATTACTGTAATCTGATACCCTGCGTCCCCGGGAAAGTGTTAGACTTGCGATAGGTTGTTGCTTCTTCTTCTGAATACTTTACAGATGACATAGAAATACGGGATCGCACATGACACACATGGGGGAGCGGGTAGCCGCGCAATTCGTCGTGGTGTATATGCTGCGTCCGTTATCCGTGCCAGGAACCTTCCGGGGTTGGTTCGAGTCTCAAAGTTGCCCTGAATCTAATTTTGATCCTTGGTTTGTCGGTTGTGCTCGCTGAATTCACCTGCGGCATTTGGAGCTTGTTCCCACAAGAAAGTGAAACGTCAAAATAAACTATAATAGTGTTATAAACGGTTTTAATCCCTTCACACAGATGGACACTAGAAATAGCATTCACACATTGTACACACGTAGAGAATCGAACTACACACAGCATATGTTTCTTCTACATGCCAAATGTGGGTAGTCGCACGTGTTCAATTTCTGTGACATGTAAGCAGGATTTGAAACTGATTGGTTTTCAAAACACAACAACGTCTTTTTTCTCAATCTTGCTCGAGTTGTGAGATTTTGGACAGAAAAGCAATATGATTCTACTTGGAGAGAGTATAACTAGTTTGAAGCCACCGGGGAGTTGACGTCTGTGATTTGCTATTGGGACTCTTACACTACGTTAATGGCATTCAAAATCAATATCCTTTTAAATTTTGTGACAGTGAACAATTTATGATTAAATATTTCATGCTTTTATATTAATTTGTATGTATATACTTTTTATATATTTGCCACATAATTATGATTATGTCATTCATTCTATACAGTTCGTAAAATGTAATCCCTTCATGCCAAAGGTAAAGCAGACGAAGCTCACTTAGCAAAGCTAATTAGCACCAACCATATATTTCATGTAATTCATTCTATACATTTATACTTTAACTACCATCATGTCAAGGCAAAGATGACGAGAGCTTGCCCAGCCAAGCTAAATAACATCAACGACGGTCACGTGACACCATCTCTGAAAGCTCATTAGACATCCAGACAGCAGTTGTAAAAAAAATAAACTGATAATAATCTGATCAGGTGAATTCCAACGTTGATCAGTGGTGTTTTCCATTTCTTTTCAGACTATAAAAAGAGGCTCGTTAGTCCAGCCAAAATGTATCTCCATAATACCAGCCTAGTTCGGCAAGGGTGGAAACTGGACTTTTATAGTCAGTTAACTCTCTTGCCTCGGGAAGATGTGCGGAATTCTGCGCCATTCTGCTTGTAACGCGTTGGCCAGTTGTGGGAGTGTCTGTGACGTTCACGTCGATCTAGTTCATCCCAGAGGTGTTCGATTTGGTTGAGATCTGGAGATCTCGACGGCCAGAGAAAAACGTTGATATTGCAAATATGAAGGGAGTCTACCGTGACACGAGCGTTGTCATGTTGAAACAGATCCTCCTGGCGGTCAATAATTGGAAGAAGGTGAAGATGAAGAATTGATTCATGTTGCGATCTGCTGTCAAACTTCCCTTAACCACAACCAAGTCAGATCTCGTGGTGTAGGATACGGTGTCGTCGCCTCAGATGTGCAGGGATTGTCGCCAGAAGACAGTAAACCACCGTCAAGCACGTCTACAGTGGTGCGGCCATGCAGTGGGGACAAGTTCTATTCACTGACGAGTCTCGTTTTCACCTCAGCCACAGCGATGGACGGATTCGAGTGTACCGACGTCGAGGTGAAGGTTACGTCAATCATTGTGTCATGGAAGAAGATCGGCTCGGGGGCGGCAGCGTTATTGTATGGGGTGGGATTACAGCAAGACAGAGGACCCGTTTGATAGTGGTAGAGGGGAATCTCAATGGACAGCGCTACCGCGACGGGATCATTGGCCCTGTTGTTCTACCGTTTTTGCTTCGTCATTGCCCAGGCATTACCTTTCAGCATGACAAAGCCCGGCCTCATACTGCTCGACTTGTTCAGGATTCTCTTTAACAAAGCAACGTGAATGTCATCCCCTGGCCGGCTCGCTCCCCTGACCTCTCACCAATCGAGCACATGAGGGATGAGGTGGATCGGCGCCTTCGATGTCAACGACACTCCAGGAACTTCGATACCTGCTCCAGCAGAT